TTAAATAGATATCAATCGAAATGGGAAAAATTCTTCCTGAAGGTGTTGGTGAAGTTCAAGAATTTATTGATATATGTGATTATGCTGTTGGACTTTCAAGAATGTATGAAGGAAAAATTTTACCTTCAGAACGTAAGTTTAGAAGAAAAGAAAAACAATTTTTTTTTATTATTAAAATAAACAAAAGGTCCTGGTCATGTATTAATGGAACAATGGAATCCATTAGGAATAATTGGAATAATAACAGCATTTAATTTTCCTTGTGCTGTTTTTGGATGGAATCAAGCTATTGCTCTTGCTTGTGGAAATGTAACACTTTGGTAAATATAATTAGATTTATTTATAAATAAATAAATTAATTTAATTATAGGAAAGGTGCTCCAACAACTCCATTAACAAGTATAGCAACAACAAAAATAGTTGAACGTGTATTAAAACGTAATAATTTACCAGGTGGTTTATCATCATTAATATGTGGTGGATCTGATATTGGTATATCAATAAGTAAAGATAAAAGAATTCCACTTGTTTCATTTACTGGTTCAACTAATGTTGGAAAACAAGTTGCTTTAACTGTTCATGAACGTTTTGGAAAAACAATTCTTGAATTAGGTGGAAATAATGCTATTATTATTATGGATGATGCTGATTTAACACTTGCTATTCCTGCTGTCTTTTTTGCTGCTGTTGGGACAGCTGGACAAAGATGTACTACAGCAAGACGTCTTGTAAATTTCTATTTTATTGAAAAAAAAAACAAAATATTTCATTTCATTTTATTTTATATGTTATTTAAAATAAGATTGTTCAAGAAGGAATATATGATGAAGTGTTAACTGGTCTTGGTCGTGCATATAAACAAATTGAATCTCGAATAGGTGAACCATTTGAAAAAAATATTCTTTATGGACCATTACATACAAAACAAGCAGTTGATTTATATGAAAAAACAATTGAACAAATAAAAAAATCAAATGGTCATATTTATTATGGAGGAGAAGTTTATAAAGAACGTAAAGGAAATTTTGTTCAACCAACAATTGTAACTGAATTAAAACATGATTCTCCTATTGTTCATCAAGAAACATTTGCACCTATTCTTTATGTTTTGAAATGCAAAGTTAGTTTTTAAATATTATTTATTTTATATAAATATTATTTTTATTTATAAATAGACATTTGAAGAAGCTGTTCAATGGAATAATGAAGTTAATCAAGGTTTATCAAGTTCAATATTTACAAATAATCCGGAATATTTATTTAAATGGATTGGTCCCAATGGATCTGATTGTGGAATTGTATATTAAATAAATATAGTTTTGGTTTTTTCTTTTTTTAAATAAATTCTCTTATTCTTTTAAAGGTTAATGTAAACATTCCAACAAGTGGAGCTGAAATCGGTGGTGCTTTTGGTGGAGAAAAACATACAGGTGGTGGAAGAGAATCAGGTTCAGATTCGTGGAAACAATATATGAGACGATCAACTTGGTTTGTTTTATTTTTTATTTTATCATTTATTTAATTTATTTATATTTAGTACAATTAATTATTCTAAACAACTTCCACTTGCTCAAGGCATTCAATTTGCTTAAATATTATTTTATTGTTTTAAAAAAGTTCTTTTAAAACATAATTAGTGATAAAAATAAACAGTTTTACTCTTTTCCTTTGATCTTATATTAATAAAGTAAAAAAAAAAAAATTTTAGATGTATTTATTATTCTAAACAAAAACAAGAACAACAAAAAAAATATTTTTGTTTTTGTTTTTTTTGTTTAAATGGAAAATCCCGAAGATTTAGAACATATATTATCATGTCATTGGCCTCATTTATTTGCTTCAATAGATCCAACAACACCAATAACATTATCAAAATTATCAACACGTAATTGGTTAATATCATCAACATCTAATGGTGGTTTATCATATGTATTAAAAAGTGCCTCAACATTATCAACAAATAGTCTTGATTTTGAACTTCAATATTTAATTGATTTAAATAGATTTTTATCAAATGAATATAATGTACCAGTACCAATATCAACAGTAACAGGACAATATCATGCTAATGGAAGATATTGGTTATATCAATATATTAATGGAAATGTTTATGCTGATAATGATACATCACATTTATTTGATGAAAAAGAACTTATTTCATTAGCGAAATTAATATCAAAATATCATCAATTTTTAATGACACATTCACCATCATTAGCAACTAATAAAAGAAGTACAACAAGAGAACATCTACTTGATGAACTTAAACAAGCTGCTGTAAATTTTATTTTATTTTATCCAAAAAAAATTTCTTTTTCTAATTTAATTTATAGGATGGAATTCCTCAATCTTCATCTTCATCTTCAACAACCATAGCAACAACCACAACAACAACAAATGTAATTGATGTTGTAAGTCAATATTTTATTGGATGTTATCCATTATTATGTCGATTATTACGTGATTCATTATCTCGTCAACAAAAAACGAATATAATACGTAGTTATCCAATACATCGAAATCTTCGTCCAAGTAAAGTTGTATGGTCATCATCTGATAATAATCGTGTTATTGGTTTATTAGATTTTGAAAATGTTAATCATGATACATTATGGAGAGATTTAGCTGTTTGTTTATCAACATTTTGTACATCATCATCTCCATCAATAATAACTGATGTTGATAGAATGAGAATATTTATTGAAGAATATATGAAACAAATGTCTGGTGGTACAGCAAGAGTTTCATCACAAACTGAACAAGAAGTATTTCAATTAATTGTTGATGAAATTATTTTATGTGCTATTGAAGATTTTACTTTTATTTATTGGCAATATATTCATCAAAGAGATAAATTTCAAGGACTTAAAGCTATGGAATTTTATTATAAAAGAGCTCTTTGGCATGCTGAACATGCATTGAAAAAATAATTTTCTCTCTTTTTCTTCTTCTTCTTTTGTTAAATAAAACTATTTTCTTTTACTTTTTCTTTTTCAACATTATATTAACAAAAAACTTTAAATATCATCAACAATTAATTAACAAACAATTATCAATAAATAAACAAATACAATGTTCAAATCAAAACTTAGATATAAATATATATTGATTGATTGATTGATGATAAATGTTTAAATTCTAATATGTCATTATATCTGTTAATCATAGTAGAATAAATGTTGACTATTGTAAAATTTTCAATGATCATATTATTATATTACTGTTGGAAATATTATTTTTATTGTCATTATTATCGAAAATCTGTTTACTATAAGAGAAAAATTCTTCTTCCTTTTTTCTTTATATTTGATATTAATAATTGAATATGAAAGAAAATTAAATTGAATAGAATAGGATATCAACTATCAATGATAAATAAATTAAGATTCTTCTTATCCACAACATTCCTATTTTAACCTATTTTCTTTCTTAACTAATTCGAATAAATAGACTTTTTGTATTTTTTTTTTGTATAATGAAAAAACTTAATCATATAGATATAAAGATTTTTAAATTCTTCTAGAATTTACTAAACATCAATAGATCATTCGATTTTATTTATAAAACGTCTCTATTTATTAACAATAAAATATAAAATATAAACTATGATAATCGTGTCAAAAAATATAATCATCTATTTAATTAAATAATCGGAATAGTATCGAAGAATTTCTTTAAATATAGACATTAATAATAAATATTAATTTCGATTATTTTAAATAGACAATTAACAATTATTCAAATTTTAATAAATTTTCTCGATAATACTATTCAACTTTGTTAGAAAATTGTTGTTTAACCAAAATAAATCGTCAAAACTCCAGATGATTATTGACGACATGAATACCTTTAACTAAGATATGAACATATTGGAAAATTTCAAGGCTATTATTATTATTAGATATATTAATTATAGATTATATATATATAGAGATCATCAATAATTGATAAAGATGTTAGTTAATTCTTTTTTTGACAAGTTTAGTTGTTGAAGTATAGATTTTAATCAATATGAATATTTCTATTGATAGAAAAACAAAACAAAACTAAATATTTTAAATTAATTTAGTAAATTTTTTTTTCGACCTTTTATTATAGAATATTTTATTGTAAGACAAGAACTTTTTCTTAGAGAGTAAGCATCAACGTAGATATACATCTCAATACGGAAATCAGTCAATATTTGCATGTACGAGTCTTACATTTGTTCTCTTTTCGTTTAATTCAATCAGTAATAAACATAATCACAGTTATATTCAAATCTATAGACATTCTCAATGAGAGCTAGATCATCAACAAATCGAATAGTTTAATTCAAACGAAAACAATCATTTGAGAATGCTTATTATTATCTTTATTTAATGGTTTGTAGATTATACCCAAGAGGTTAACTAGATTTATAGAACTGTTAAATGACAATTAATCAATAGTTCCTGTAACTGTTAGGAAGATACTTTTGGAAAATAAGTAACAGAAACGATAAGAGAAAAATCCGAGATTTGTTTGTTTATTTAAAAAAGATCTTTTCAAAGAGAATGACAGTTTTTTTTTCATAGAATTTTGTCAAAGATGTTTCAAGTCAAGAAATTCGAATCTTTTAAGAAATCTGTTACTTTTTATAATAAATATTTATCGAAGATTTGTGAAGAACGATGAAAAGTAAAATGAGATATGATATATAGAATACAAGCGGAAATACCCGATGTTGCCCGAGAAAATTCAATCCTAATATATGCAAGCAAAACTCTTATTGCGCTCGAGAACATGTAAGAAAACCTAATCAGTGGGGAGAAGA